TCCCCATTTCCTTCTCCGCAGCTCGCCAGGAATGTCGTGCCTCTCCTCGGGCCACACCGCGGTGTGACGCCGCGCTAACAGCTGGTCCCGGGTGTAAACAATGGAGGCACGGCTGGGCGCCGGGTCCCCGCACACGATCGTATCCATAGCAAAATGGGAGAAAGACCGCTATAAAGAGAGCGGTCTTCGTCTCCATAACAAAACAGAACATAAGTGCTAGCTAGCTAACTGAAAGAAAACTCAAAATAAGAAAGTTAAATGAAAAGAAATTGAAAAAAACTCAGCGGTGAGCAGGAGCTGCTGTAACAGGTGTCCGCACTGGGGGCGCCATCTTGTCCAATAGAAGGAGACATAGCATAAAAAAAAAGGCACTGAAAGGAGGCACCGTAATGTGCATTTTGTTTCGGTCCGGTAGGCAATGGTTGTATAGGTACCGGTTCCATATAAGCACCGACTTTCGGTACCCAACCCTAGTCACCACTCATCGCGATTTTGGACTGCGTGTGTTTAGGCTGCTCTTGTGCAAAATACGTAAGAAATAAAAGAAAAACGACGTTATTTTTGAAAAGTCGAGAGCTTCCTGAATCCGGCAATACCAAATATCACAAGGTTTGGTGACGTAATGCGCCTGGGAGATACCATTTAACAGAGGAGGAGGGGAGCGAGGACATCGGCGTCCTTGCAGAGTGAGTGAGGTTAAATGCCACAGTCATATAAACACAAGCTAAGGTCTAGTCCACACGGACCCGTGTACTTCTGAAACCGTGTATTATTCTATGCGATTTGGCTGTTTGGCCACACGCAACCACATTTTTGGGCCCCCAAAACCGCGTTTCTTTGAAACCGGAGTCCAGGGTGAAGTTTATGGAAGACTCCGGTGTCAGTAGTTGCGTGTAGATAGGATAACCACAGTATTTTATTACCCGTCTCCATTGTTTGATGCCAGAGCGATGGTAAATAGCTCTTTTCTTAAAGTTTACTAACTACTAAAATCCCACATCCTGTGTTAAATACAATGTATCTTAACTATATTTACAATGAAGCTTGATTCTGCACTCTGCACTTAGCCCGTATGTGAATGTTTACCATTGCTATGGTAACAAGTGACAGCTGACATTAGCGTTAGTTAGCTTAGCTCAATCGTCCGACAAACAATAATCCATAAAATTATAATTCAACATATTTACACAAAATCAACAACAGGTACCAACAGTTACAGTCCTTAAAACCTTAGCTAATGTGTTGTCACAGGTTAGATTGTCAAAATTAAAGTAATAACAGCTGAAATCCCTGAGGAACTATGCTAGCATTAGTGATGGTTGCATCCACTCGTATGCAGTTACCTTACGTTACAGTTCCCTCAAACAATATCACGAAGCACAATACAAACTATATAAACAAATTATCTATTAAGGGTACACTACTAAAATCTGAAGGTGCTTAGGAGACATTTACCCACCTGAAAGAATAAATGAAAACAAACGGTGATTCTGCTCGTCTTCAGTAGCTTTACTCTAGGTGTAACTGCCAACTGAAGAACCAACCGTTTACATACCCAGATTTGCTCTCATGTCTTTACTCAAATCAGTTATGCTTTAAATTGAATGGGGGGTATTCTGTATGGTATTTGTAAAGATATATACCCAGATTTGCTCTCATGCCTTTACTCAAATCAGTTATGCTTTAAATTGAATGGGGGGTATTCTGTATGGTATTTGTAAAGATACAAAATCAATATCATATGCATAAAATAATGTCACAATTGAGTGGGCAGATACACATAAATACCCTACATGTCACACTAACTTTATCTGTGAGCATGCTATCTGCTCTCTTTGGATGGCATATCCAGCTGCTCAACCCAACGACCAACGAAGGAAGCTGCTCCTGTTGCTAGCTACCCCAACTACACTACCACGAAAGCAGCGACGGGCCTGCCAACGGAGGCTCTGGATCCGGCCGGGTCGGACCTCCGTTGGCAGGCCGGTCGCTGTTTTCGTGGTAGTGTAGTTGGTCGTTCAGGCGCCTCTGCTCTTGAATTAGGTCAAACTATTTTTGTGGATCGGGTTGTTTTTATTTTTTCACTTCCCTATTCCGGTATTGACTCTGACTTCTGATTGGTTAAAATGGCCTTTCTGTTAGAAGTTACATCGCCACCTACTGCTTTGGCATGTGTATTACATCACTTGTTAGCAGGTTTTGCGGTTTCGTGTGGGTATCATTATTTTTTTAATCACACCACTTGTGTGGATAAATTTTTTCTGGAAACCGGAGCCCGAAAAACTTCGGTTTCAGAAGTACACGGGTCCGTAAGGACTAGGCCTAAACAGCCGTCACTTATGGACCTTTCGGTCTTTCAGCCTGAGTCAGCTACCCGGCCACCAGCAGCTACTGTTCACTGTTGTCCCTGGTTCAGCGGGTGTGTGTCCTGTGACTGTGTGTGCTGCTGGGTTTGCTGCTACAGAGAGTCTGTGGCTGTGCAGCGGCTCGTTCTTCAACTCGGTAGTTGTGCATGTTACTGTGTTTCTGGAGTAACAGCTAAGGAGAGTCTGTAGCCCGTTCTTTGGCTCTGTGTGTTTTTATCCACCTCTCTCTCTCTCATCACCCTCAGTATTCACAGTGAAACTGAAATGGCTCCAAACACCAGACCTGTAGGTTATTGAAGGATCTTCTATTTCTGGTCTGTTAATGGTGTTACTAACCATGTTGCAGTAAGCTATTTTAGCGTAGCTGCCTCCCAGTGTGTCTCACTGGAGTAGAATGTTCTGGTTTTTATTATTATTATTATTTTATTATTTATTATGCTGATCTGTTCTGTACGACATCTATTGCACGTCTGTCCGTCCTGGAAGAGGGATCCCTCCTCAGTTGCTCTTCCTGAGGTTTCTACCGTTTTTTTTTTTCCCCGTTAAAGGGGTTTTTTTTGGGGAGTTTTTCCTTATCCGCTGTGAGGGTCTTAAGGACAGAGGGATGTCGTATGCTGTAAAGCCCTGTGAGGCAAATTGTGATTTGTGATATTGGGCTTTATAAATAAAATTGAAATTGAATTGAATTGGTTTGGGGGTGGGAGAGGCAGGCATGTTGCTCTGTCCTGTGGGCTGCCTTGTTGAGCGCAGTGGCACTGAGAACATTATATTAAACACAGCTTAAGCTGTATATCTTATTTTCCAAATATAATAGAATAGTACAATGTATCGTTCAGTTCTTTTTGTATACTGCATGCAAAGCCTTGTACCGAACAGTTCAATACGAATACATGTATTGTGACACCCCTGGTATGGGGCCCACCTTCTGTTTTCAAACTCTCATAGTAAAGCTAAACAGTACACTAAATTTTGTTTCTGAAATATTTCAGGCAAGAAATACACAATACAGTAGCAGAATCTAGGATTGAATTTGATCAGCACTGCCTAGTTTTACAGTTTGGTGGGGGGGTGGGGGGGTCCACATAAAACAGCAACACTAGGTCTTGTGGCATGTGTTGGTTAAAAGTACACCCATTTAACTGAACTGTAACCATGCACTGTAATAAGCAGCAAAGTACACAGTTCATAACTTATACACACGTTCTGCAAGTGTTTGCCATAAAGTGTATTGATGTAGCCATCGTGATGTCACTGATTGGTTTAAGGACTCCTGTTTAGAATCCTTGAGTTTGTTATTTCAGCCTTCGCCATCTTATTTTTTGGAGTAGTGACCATGTTTGGACAAGAGGTTGGAGCTGTGGAGGAGGGAGGGATGGATCTGCAGTGTTTCCCCTATATGCATGAAATATGACAGCTGCTCCTGATATTTTTTTTTTGTCTTATTTTCTATATAGCATCAGATCACAACAGAAGACATTTAAAGCTATAGTTGGTAATCCTTTTCAGAAACACTTCTTGTTATACTGGGTGAAATGGTCCTTCCATCCTGGGAGTAGTCAATACATAATGTGTTCAGAAAAAGGAACGAAAAAAATCTGACCTCTGTGGCAGCTGCAGGCCTGTACAAACTCTGACCAATCCCTGCCATTCAGTGCGAATGGAAAGAACCAATCAGATGCCTTCATGTCTCGTCCTGCCCGAGCCCCTCTCTGTCCCTCCCTCCCTCCTCCCTGCATGTACTCATCACGTGTCACCGTTGCCGGAAATATTCAGCACACTCCTCAGCAGAAATACAGAGTTAGCAGGAGTTTGCTGAACAATGGCAGAGAAAATGCAGCCAAAAGTACCACTTCCAGCGTTACTTGTAACAGCTCACCCCACTAAACAGGCTGAGAAAAGAAAGTCAGAGGCAGAAAAAGCTGCAACGAAAAAGGCTTTGGATAAAGAGAGAAGACAAACCAGACATCAACAACAGTACAGCTTTTGAAAAGTGGAGACAACTGAGGGAGCTGAAGGGCCTGAAAAGTGATGCAGAGGTTGCTGTCTTTCGTTGGGCATTTTAACATGGGGGTCTTTGGCCTGAAGTGGCCATTTGAGGAACTCCAGCTTGTGGCACTTCTGCACTGGCTTCATTTTTTCAGGCCCAGAGGTTATTGTTTGGTTTTTGCTAGGTAACTGTTACCATGTAGCTTGACTGAACATGTTAACTGAGGAGATTTAATCAATCAATTTCCATTAGTTCTTTACAGCAAAACATTTTTTTTGATAAATGAGTTGTTCACTTTAAATCTTAGGTTTGCACACAGCCCATGCTGTCGGCTCAAAGTGCATGTCCCCATTAGTTAGTTTGCTAGCCCACATGGCACATTTCACACTGTATATTTGACAAATGAATGGATTTTTGTCTTCAAAGAACATCACTCAGAAAAGAGGTTTTTGAATTCTTATTTCCTCTGACATTAGTCACACACAAGTAGCTCATCATGATATTCAAAGTCTTTTTAAATTATTTTAATTTTCTGTAATCTTCAGTCATCTCAGGTTCCAGAGGATACAGTGAAGGTGTTACACTGCTAAGTTACTGGATGAAATACTATAACTTTTCACTGTGTGTCACCTGCTCAGAGTACTCACCTGTCGTAGTGGATTATCAGTGAGATAGCCTCAAACAAGATAGCATTCTTGGCATTGGAATGCTGCACCTTCTTGGACTTCGGTGGCTCCTGGGCCTTATTAAGGATGGTTTCCAGACACTCTACCAAACGGCCCTTGACGGCACCATCTTCTGGTGGAGGATAGCACTGCAACAGGCGCAGCAGCTTGCAGGAGAGCCACGGTGCAGGGACAAAATAGTAGGTGTAATCCTGTAAGTCAGTGGAGGCCGACGACACAATCTGGAGCACCAACAGAATTTTTTTAGGACATATTATGGTCAGTCAAAACTATAACCACGCAAGACACTGCTTAATGGTTTCAGCAAAGTGAAGCTCACTGAAATCCCTCCAAACACACCTATTCAAAACTGCTTACAACCCCTAAAAAACTGTGCTCCTCTTCTCCCTCCCTGCATTGTTTTCCTTCTTATTTCATCTTTGCATTGTTTTTTTCCCCTTTATTTTGTTGTTCTTTGTAAAGCATCTCTGGGTATCAAGATAAAGAACATATAAATCCAAAGTGTTGTTCATTCATTATTTTTAAAGGTTATACCTCTTTTGAAACATTTTAAATTGACAGGGATGCATGCTGCAAACATCTCAGAAAATCTGTATTGTGAGACTATGAAAACAATTTAGAGTGATTATTTCAGAATTTGGTCACAAATAACACAGACGACACACACAAAAAAGGAAAAAACAATAATAAGTCTGATCAATAACTATTTAAAATTCTTTTTGCGCCTGATTGTTCATGAGACACACACACACACACACTCTCACACTCACCCTACTAAGTCGGGAAACGGCCAGGGAAACACAGGTCTTGAACTCATCTGGATTCTTCTGACTCAGACAGGTGATGAGAGAGATGGCTGCTGTAACCACACCCTAAACCCCAGACCAGACCCAAACACATGCATGCACAAGAGAGAAAGTAATAACCCCACTGATATATCACAGCTCAGTGGATACCAGTGATGCAACTGGTTTCATAAATTCAATATCAATTTCAGAATCGGACTGTGCTCACCATGTGTTGGTCGTTAAGCAGGTGTACCACGCGGGATGTCCACTCACCCATCAGCACCAAGTCAGGAGAGGTCTTATAGAGCCGCAGCAGACACAGAGCAGCTGACTGTTTCACACTGTCCATGGTATCACTGTGGTGCAACACACTTACATTATCAGTAGCTCAGTCATGTCACAGCTATGTCAGGTGACATGACGGATAACCACTCACAGCAAAACATGAGAAACAAAAACAAAGACAACTGAGGATGACAATCATTCATTTTACCTCCCCACCTTCCAAAGAAGAAGTCACACTCACCCAGCAACCAGGATCCGAGGGATCTCACTAGCAAAGGCTTCAGCCATCTCGCGGCTTCCCACATTCGCGATACAGTGCAGCGCCAGGCACATGAAGGTGGGGTTGCGGCTGGACAGGTCATTCTTGATGGCATTGTTAATCAGACGTATAAGCTCACTGTTGCTGTTCACCAGTACTGAGATGAATAGGTAGCCCTGGAGTAACAGAGATGAGAGAGCAATGACATCAAACAGTAAAGGCATTAAAACAGCATAGAAGGAAAACATAAATAGTGTTCAGTGTGTGTGCCATGATATTCTTCTAGCTTCAGTTTTGCTGCCGTTGAACTGCATTGCCTTATACTGAGAGGTGTTTCCAATATAAGGTTTACCTTAATTGATATTAATGGGTAGACTGCATTGGTAGTTTTGTTGATGAAATCTATGATGAAAATTCTTCACCCCCTTTTTTCCATGACAAAAACGAGATGGCTAAAAATAGATTTTGATGAATAAAACTACTACTAAATCTATGTTTCATTTTCGTTGACAAGACGTGACGAAAATGTTAGTGGTGGACTATGGGCATTAAAGACCGAAAACAGCCGTGCTTGTAATTACCTTCAAATGCAACATGAGTGACACGCTGGTAAACTCCAGTAAACAGTAGGCACAAGGATGTTTCGCTAGCCAGCGAAAACACTCGGCAGAGTAGTGTCAGCTGTTGGTGCGAGTTGTGAGCTGTAATTCAGGAGTAAATAATTAGCCATCTGTGCCTCCTGGTGGAGCTGTTGAATGGATTTGTGGAGTTTGTTAGTTGCAGCAGTGGCTGTTAGCAGTTAGTTCTGGAGAGCAGCCACCGACCATTGGACTTCACAGCTGATCCCTGCAGGACTCCACTCAGACCAGATTAGAGAGGGTTTATGGTTTGATGCTGTTTGACAGGCAGTTAGGAGCCTCAGTTATCTGTGAGTGTAGCTGTGCTGGAAGTAAACAGTCTGAACTCAGATCAGTTTTCTCTGACAGAGATGAAAGTTTAGTTTTAATCACCAACTCTGTGAGAGGACACAAGTCTAAACCTCCAGACTAATATCTTGCAGATGAAGATAGAATTCAGGCTTTGATTAAGTTATTTCTCTGCTTCTTAACAGTGAGATCGATAAGTCAGAGTTTGCAATGAACCTATGTTCTAATCCTGGTCATCTCAGATTAGTTGTTTGTGGTGTCAAAGTTTTTGAGAGCTCTTTTTTAAGAACATGCAAACTTTTGTTTTGCTTCAGAAAAGCAGCTCTGATGCTCCGCTGCGCTCGCCTCTCTCTCTCTCTCTCTCTCTCTCTCTCTCTCTCTCTCACAACAGCAGCCCCTCCCCCTCTCATGCATACGCTGCAGTCACACACTGAAAATGAGCTACATGCAAGAGGGAGAAACGGTAAAGGAGGATTTATGCCTGGTACACACTACACAACATTTCTGCCGGCTCTGAAAGTCACTATGTCACATTACATGATTGTGGAGTCATAAAACCGTGCCGTGACTTTGCCGACAGACATGACACACTACAAGATGGTACACACCAATTATCCCCGGTTGTCTTTCACGACGTGTGTGATGTCATCGGGTTATTCTTGTCCTATTTTTATTATTATTATTTGAGTCACTGTGTCTGTTCATGTGCCAGCCGAAATGTTGTTGTAGTCACCTAAAAAGTGCCAGCAGATGGCAGGAGCTACATGTGAAGTACCGTACGTAAACATAAAAGTCACTGATTTCTCCACAACAAATTCCTGCAAATGTTTCACAATAAAAGCCTATTTAGAAAATGGAGGGATTCTCTCAGCCAAGATTATAAGGGGCTTTTAATTTAAAACAAGTTCAGGAAGTGCTGAGTTTGAAATGATGGCGCCATGCATTAACTTTATCAAGGCAACAGGAGCGGATAAAAAGTAAAAATATAAAGATACAGAAGGATTAATAAATAACGGACCGTCTATAATGTAGTCGGTTTCAAATGAAGCTGGTAGCCTCTGCAGTTGAGGTGAGTAAAAGCCCCGCCACTATTTTTTAATTTTCTTACTTTGAGTCATCTGGTGAAAATTCTTGTATTTTTTTAATATTGCAACATATATATTGCAAAAAAAAAATAAATAAAAAAATATCGCAATGTCAGTTTTTTCCAATATTGCGCAGCCCTACATTCTACTGTAGCCTTTAAAATGTCTTTTTTACCAAATTGTGTGGCTGCACTTTCACCTCTCTCTTGATCTGTGTCGACACTGGATAACAAAAAAAAAGTTTTATGGCATTCATTCTACTATTATGTATTTATTTCTTAATATTTTACATAGAGTTTTAGGAGTTGAGACATACAACAATTCATATGTCATCTATTTTTATTTTACGTGCTGGTATCGGATCAGTTCTCAGTATCAGCAGATACCTAAGGTTCAGGGATCGGAATCAGTATCATGAAGGAAAAAGTGGTATTGGTACATCTCTAATAAATAGAGAATTGTTGAACTTTTCAAATGATGATCAGTAAGTGTGTGCTCGTACACCACCCCTTAAACCTGTCAAACACTAAACAAAAATGACTAAAATGTGACTACAACTAATTCCCATTTTCATCTCAAGACTGAGACTAAATCTAAAATATCTGTAAAAATGAGCTAGCAACTAGCATATACAACATCAATCCATGACTACAGTCCCCACATCATGATCCTATGCTATTTGGGTGTGTGGAGAGTAAAAATAATCCCACATTAACCAGTGGGTGGTGCCAAAACATTACTACTTCCACATTGCAGAGTCATGAGGTATTAACATCTGGTGCTTAGATTAGGTCTGTGAAGTCACAGTTTTGGCATAACGGTATAATTGTTCAACAAACAAGAATTCAGTTATTGCATGTTTCCTACAAAGTGGCTTGCATTTTGTTATACTGACAATGTCATTTTAGTGTACCCTATAAATTAATTGCATGGACAAAACATTAGAAACACCTTTGAGTAGGGCTGGGCGGTATGACCTAAAATTCATATCACGGTATAAATCGAATCCCTTCACGGTAACGGTATATATCGCGGTATAAATTTAAGTGTAAAAGTTATAATAGAAGTGTTTCTGAATGGGTTTTGTAGTCCCTTAGCAAAGCTAAATTGATAATAAAAAAAACAACAACAACAAAAGCAAAGATATAATGTATTTTTTAGAGCATTTATTGTGCAGAATGCAGATCTCAAAACTCAAAATTAAAACCCAGTACTCTATGGTGCAAAATGTCCCCTGGGATCTATATCAAAAGGTAATTTCTTTCTTTTAGCAAAATCCTAAATGACTGAGTTGTGTGTTTTCCACCTGGACTTTTATGCTCTGCCATTTCTCCTCTAATCATCACGCTGTAACCTGTGACAGGCTGCTATGATACCACAACTATCACACATTCACATATGGAGTTTTTTGTGGAGCCCCTAGCGTCACATAGGTTTATATTACCAAAGGTTTATGACAAACTCTCTTGCCGAAAACCAACTCCTGTGTGCGCACGGCGAGAGAGGAGAGGGAGAGACGCTGTGCTGCTGCCAGAGGAGTCGCTGAATGAGTTCCCTCTGAGCGGTAAGTCGCTAAAAGAGTCTGAGAAGTCCGGGCCTGTTCATAAAACATTAACTCACTCACTCACAAGTTCTCCAGCAACACATGTTACACGTGCTACGCTAAATCACGGACGTGAACCAGCTCCTCTTGCTCCGCTGTCTCTGTGCTCGCAGCCATTTTCACACTGAGGTAGGTGCGATGACGTCATCGACGATAGGACGGTAGAGCGCAAATCTCTACCGTGGGCCAAATTTATATCATTTCTACCGTCTACCGCATATACTGTGCAGCCCTACCTTTGAGTATAACACAATACAGTTAAACAACAGCACATACTGAAGCCTCCACAATGACCATTAAGTTGAATCAACTCTTAAAACAGATTCAGCAAAAACTGAAAATTAGAACATTCCTGGAGAAGATTTGTTACAGGACTAGATTTGACTGCATTGTTTTTTTTCCCCATCCTTCACTGCCAGACATTAAATAGATGATAGGAAATATGACAAAGATGCAACAAGGGACCCCAGCTGGACATGAACCAGAGATCTTGCAATTCACGGTCGCCATGTGGGTGCCACAATTGCTTTGATTTTTTTTAAAAGATATTTTTGGGGGCATTTTTTGCCTTTAATTGATACAACAGTTCAGCATGAAAGGGGGAGACATAGGAGTGACATGCAGCAAAGGGTCACAGGCTGGAGTCAAACCTGGGCCACTGCGGCAACAGCCTTGTACATGGGGCACCTGCTCTATCCACTAAGCCACCCACACCCCACAATTGCTTTGATTTAACTATATTGACTTAAAAAGTGGTGCTGTGGAGTTTTCTTGTAAACAAACCAAAGTTCTGTTTACATTTACTATTAGTCAGGGGTGTCCCGATCTGATCTCAAGGATCAGTATTGGGGCCAATTAAGGCATTTTTTTAACTGACCGGGATTGGCTTCATTGAGCTAGATAGAACCTGATCCAATACTTTGTTTTACCTTAGCTGTCACACAGGTGTTTTTACTCACAGTGCTTTAATTTACAGCAATGCAGAATGCAGCCATCGTCAACCGCCTTGGGCACCAAATGTGCTAGGAGTCACTGGGGACATCTTATTAGTCACCAAAACTCACTGTGTGTATAACAAACATGAAAAATACCTTTCCTTCTTCATTAAATGTATGCTGATCTGATTTTTCCTAAATTTGTTTAGCCTGTGTTGTTTGCAACCATGTTCAGTAGCAAGCAGTCTTCTTCTGTACTGCCTTAGCTGTTGCACTGCTCAATTTGAATCACTTTTTGCAGTTGCACATAAATTATAATGGAGATCACCAACAGACACAGTGGTTCATTATTATTGAGCTCTGTAGAGTAGGTAAAGCGACAGATTCTACTGGACCTTGGCATCTGCCAGTGCAGCTCTGCTTACTTTCTTATGAAATGCATGTCTTCAAATGAAACAGGTAAAGGCCAATCTTGAGTCAAACATTGTTATTGTGTGTGTTAAACAACCCTGGGATCAAACGTTTAAGGACCTCTCATTGTCATCAGAACATTTAGTTTATGGTTGCGATCCCAAATCTCAATTACATATTAACTCCTATACAATGTGAATGTGTCCACATTCCAAG